GTTCAAAGACAAGTTATAGTAGAATACATATGCTTGTTAATTTGTTTTTTCTTTGGTTAGACTGAACATCACATTTACTGATGCACGTCAGTTCAGTTCGTTTTGTGATTTTGATTCAACCATTTTTGTCCTAAAAACCCACAAAATCAACATTTAAACTTGTCAGTTTTGCTGACATGCCTGGACCAATTTCAAATATGGCATTGGCATCACTCATGGTAAAGGTTACTGATGCGCACACAAGTTTGTTTTGTGATTCCATTCAAACTTATCAACTGATGTTGGTGTTAATTTCATGTGATGTGTCTTTAACCATTGCTTTGAATGATTTTGATATAAACGACACGCATGGTTTTTGTGTTATTTTAGTCAAAATGTCCAACTGGTTTGTGTGAATTTTTTTATAAGGTGCCATTTGAGGTAACACCGTATTTTAAAGATGCTGAATACTCTCAACAATAAATTAGTCTATCTACATAGTTCATTGTTTATAATTGACAGTGTCATTAACTTGTTTATAAACAAAAATGCTAAAAAATATTGGTCTAAGCTTTCCTTCGCCCTTCTCCCTTTATCAGACTGATGTGTATAATGATAGAAACTTGTTATTTAGTACTAAAATGTTGCGTAGCAATCTTATTCCATCTTAACATATTTTCATATTTTTATTTTTAAGGGTTCTGAGGCTTTCTGATTAGCAGCGAGTCCCTGAATGGGAACAGCCCAGTCCCAACTGGAGGGTGTGCCTGTGATTGAGGAAGTGTCATCGCAAGGAAGTGTGAGTAGCAGTAGCAGCAATATAAGTACAGGTATCGGCATGGATCAAACAGGAAGACAACAGTTGCCACCACCCCCACCGTTGCAGAGTGCTGTTGACAGCTCTCGTCCTCCAACATTTAGTCAGCCCAATGTACAGAACATGACACCAGCTGTTTCATACAGTCAACCCTACAGTCATATTCGTGTGAACCCTGTGCCAGGTCCTCCCTATCATAAAATTGCACAACCTATGCATCATCAATCAATGGCACAACAATTGCCAATGTCACAGTTTCCCACATACTCGCCACAGCCATATATGCCACAGCCAACTTTTCCACCGTCAATGTCATCTCAATCGTACATGTCTCCACCACAAATGTCAACATCACAACAAATGGCTCCTGGGTTTTCTCCCAACAAGTCTCCACAGATGATGTATCCACAGCAGCAACAACAACAACACCAACAGTATATGCAGCATTATTTGCCTCCAAAACAGCAACAGTCGGCTTCGCCACAAGCACAGCAACCAGCAATGTCGCCGTCATCTCCTCAAAATACTGTTGCACCCCCTGTAGCCAGGACTACTACCACCGGTAACATTCCTAATGTTGATCCTTATTTACCAACTCCTCCTTCAGAATCTGCCCCATCAGAGACATCCGATGCCCCGCCTAGTTCACCAGAGATTAAAATGAAAATCAAAAAGACATTTACGCATGGTCGACCAAAGTTGACTTCTACTTTATATGAAGGAGAGGTCACAGGTGCCACTGATAGACCAAATGCTTCAGTGAGAAATGAAATTGCAGCTAGTACTGGTGCGCAGTCTGCATCTATGCCCACGGCATCAGATGAATCAACAGAGCCACTGCCTGTACAAAGTACATCACCACAACATTCAGACCCAGGAGTCTTGCCCGCTGTCCAGCACCCACCAGTCGCGAAGAAACCCCTCACATTGGCGCAAAAGAAGGAAACTGTGAAGGCTGGGAAAGTAGCAGCTGCCACAAAACCAACTGCCGTAAAATCCCCAGCACCGGTGTACGAAGAGAAACCATGCGAGTGGCTGGTTGGAGATCTTGTGTGGTCTAAAGTGAGTGGTCATCCTTGGTGGCCATGTATGGTTGCATATGATCCAAATCTTGGTGTTTACACACGAATGAAAGGTAGGTAAATGTGTTTCTATTGAAGCTTAACTGCATTGTATTTCCTTTTCTTCTGAACTTAAAAACTTGCATTCTACTTGACCACTAATATACTTGACCACCATCAGGTATATTGTGTTTCTAATTTTTAATATAAAAATGTTCAAATTAGACCAACGGACACATTTTTGCCAATTGGATGTTTGATGGCAGTGTTGGTGAACGATTTTATTTGGGTTCCTTGAAGCGCATAGTCTGTGACATGCTATAAATGTCACAGTATATCTGCAAGCACTACCAAGCTTCCGCTATAAGGAAGTTAAACTTTGCTGAATTATTACCTGTTGATTTTGAAACTGAATTATTTTATCTCTTTACAGGTTCAGGTCTTAAGAATTATAGGCTTTATCATGTTCAATTCTTTGGGGAGGTACCAGAAAGAGGATGGGTCAGCGGTACCAGTATGCGAAAATTCACTGGAAAGGCACAGTATCAGGTATTGGTTGAAGAATTAGGAGCTAAAATAAAAAATAGAGCAGAGAGAGCAAAATTTTTGTCCAAGAATACATTAAAACCGGCAAAGCGTGTTGCTTGGGAGATAGCTGTACAGGAATGTGAAAGGGCGTTGCCGATGAGTAGGCATGAACGTAAACTTAATTTTACCTTCAAGTATGAAATGCCCACTTCAGGTGAAGGTGTAGCACAAGGCGAACAAATTGATGTTGTTTCGCTGGGCGACTCTCCAAAAATGAAAGCAAAGAGAGCTTATAAGAAACGAAAGGCTGACGAGGAAGCAGCCGCTGCTGAAGGACCTACTCAAAGTGGAGATGCAGCTGGATCAGGAAATGATAGTAATAGTGAATTTGTTACTCCACCAAGGACTAAAAGAAAGTACATAAAACGAAAAATTAAAATCAAAGCTTCGCCGATTGACCATATTTCTGTTGCCGATGTATTGCTAGCAGACAACAAAGATACGCCAAAGAAACGTGGCCGCAAGCCAGGGTTTCTTATTTTTTATCAGAAACACAAAGAACAAGTGAAAAATGAACACCCAGATTATAGCGATGAACAGGTTGTGGAGTCTTTAAAGCAGCAATGGACTGCAATGTCTGAGAAGCAAAAATGCAGGTATAAATCTAAGTTTGCTGCTGGCACATCAGAGGACCCCACTAAAGCAGGTATGATAGAGATCATGCTTTGTGTGTATCAAGGTATATTCTACTTTCTTTGTTCATTGTCAATGTATTGTATAATATATCGGGACTATTATTGTGAAGCAGTTGAGAAAAAAAAGGGATAAGTATATTGTACCACAATCAATTGCACTAGGAAAAAGCAATGATTGCATTAATCTTGCGCCAATTGAGTGATCTGTTTTGGAGGGTGCCAATGCTTCTGGACACAACCACAAAAGAGGTGCTGGGCAGGAAAAATAAAACAATAAGGAATTGTAAATTTTTTCATGTTGCCAAATGTAACCCACATGTTACAGCGAGTGCAAGATATTTACATACACCTAACTCCTGCACCCAGAAGGCAATTCTCTGGGACTTCGCAACATTCCCTGGCACGCTCTTAGACCCTCCAATAACCATTGTAGACACAATAAAGTTGCATACTCGCTTATGTGACAGTTAATCAAAACACCGGACGCGGTATGCCTTTGAAGTGTGGCCACAAGGTACATGGGTAGTTGGACTATTCCATTGCTTTATAGGTACAAAAATCATTGCTTGTAACACTTGGAAGAAATATAATATGAGAACATAAACTGGGAATGAATATTAACAAGAAATGGTAAATGTACAATTGTTTTGTTGAGATAATATTAGTGTTGGGAGTGTCCCGTTCAATTTCTCGCATAATGGCTGGTTCACTGCCAGTTTGCCAGAACACTCATCGTCCACTCAATTTTTCCTTGGAATCTTCTACTTAGTTTTACCTCCACATTGTCACCACATACCAGTTTCAAATATCCTTCAGATCTCAGACAAAATTCAATAAACTCAACGATTTCTTGCATTACCTTCAGTTGACCACGGTCGCTACTCCGCTTAGATGCGATAGAAATGTTGCACAATCCCTTGAACTGTTGCCCTCGCTAGTCCAACTTCCTCTGCGATCATTCGCAAGAGGCGAATGATCCCCATCTCAGTTTCTTAGTCTACATGCTTTGACATAATAGCAATAATTGTTCAAATTCAGAAAATACATTCAAAACTAAACTGTTCCCACGAGGATAATTTAGGTAATTTCATTATGTTAGGGGCATATTTAAATATTTGTATCAACTAGGTTTATTATTTTCGCAAAATGTTCAAAATAAAATTTGAAATGCATGAAATGAGTAAAACATGATTTTTTTATGAAAGCTCGACTCAACGCTTACATGATGTAATAGTTGAACCTATCTGAAACCTTGGTTCGTTTTGATCAATTGTCGTGTAGACGGGTTACTTTATTGCGACTACACCGGTCACTGGATCGTCTTGGAAAAGTGTCTGAGGATGTTGCAAAGTCCCTCGGTAATTGCCTACAAGGTGCGGTAGTTAGGTGTATGTAAATATCTTGCGCCCACTATAGGACAAAAAAGTTACTACAGTTGACCAGTATTTCTGAATCAGTTTCAGTTGTTGCTCCGCTTCAACACACTGAGTGGAGAAACAATTTTCAAATGTGACATGATTTAGAAATGAACAGATTTTGTGAGGGAATTTCATGATTGAAACTGAGTGTTCTACAGTGGAACATATTGAATTATTTGGTGACAAGTATACAGTGTAATTTCAAATTTTACACAACTCATCACTGGAATGTTTTAGGATAAATCGTAATAAAGGCCAATAAGAATGTTCCAAACGATAATGCAATATTACAAAAAACACACAATTTTAATTCTCTTCAAAAACTTCTGCATTGGTGTGATCAGATAATGACAATTAGCTGCTCTTGGCCTTAATTTGAGTTTATGATCACTCTTTACAAAGTAAGGTCTGGTAAGCAAGTAGAATTTTAGTTATTGTCAAAAGAAGATCATACATTTTATATTTAAGTAAACTAACAAATTCATTTTTGTGGTTGAGACAAAGAAAAAAAATCAACTAGTTTACGTAATTGTAATAACGAACTTGTTAAAACAGTTGCATCACATTCAAAAAATAAACCACTTTGGTCAGGATGATACTGTGGAAACGATTACTTTCTGATTTTTCCCATTTTTTTGCATACATGAAGCTGAGGTTTATGAATCTTTTTTTTTTTTTTTTTTTGACTTGGCCACTCTATGGGGAATTTGTGTTGCATTTAAGAAAATGTTTTCAACATTAATGGCTCCCAGTAAGTATACTTTGGGGACTAAGTTTTGTGTTTAAATGCACTCCCTTGTTGTAGGGTTCTGTGTGAAGAGATCGATAACTAAATTTAATTTCATTAACTTAAATTGTGATTTACAGAAATTCAACTTGTGGCTGTGGACATAGAAGTGTTTGTCATCTCAAAATAGCGTCTCAAACATTGTCTGATGAAATGAATGTGAAAAAACACCATTGACAGGCATTCAAATTGCATTTAACAAATTTATGTACTATTATCATACAGTATGAAGTGTCGCTTGGTAGTGGTAATCCTTTGAATCATGTCAGTGTCTCCACGGATTTGATAAGTGGATAAATAACTAAAGTGTGGTAAAAATATCATGAAAAATGTGGTGCATCACTTTGTTGGACTCTCCCAAAATTG